ATTCGACGTGACAATGTGTAAGTCGTGCGCTTCGTGAATTATTAACTCGACACATTCATATATAGATATATTACAAAAATAAGCAAATATTATACAAAAAACTGTTCCGTAGTTCATTCATTATACGTATAGTCAAATATAAAATTCATCATTTCTAATTAAATTTTTATAATTAATTCCATATAAAAGTTTACCTTTACATGGTGTTCTTATTTGAAAAAAGCATCAAATATTTTTATTGTAAATATAGAAATCGTATTTGATGTAAGCTTATAAAATATTTTATTGCAACATTTGTTAAAAACTGCAAATTTAAATTTATATATGCTAATAATCATCTTAAAAAACTTTTACTTTCTTTCGTAGCTTTTTTGTTTTTTTTATTTGCTTATTTTTGTTTAATTAAAAAAATAATTTAACACTCACCCTATTTTGATGCAGTGGAGTTGTAGTATGCACAACGTTGATGTATCTGTAAAATACAAATATATTTAAATTATAAAACAGCATTCAAAATAATTTACATTTAATAAGTAATTATTGAACTCAATTAAATTTTTATATTTGTCCTCTAAACAGAGATATCACATATATATATACCTATATATATATATATATATATATATATATATATATATATATATATATATATATATATATAATTAAAAATCACATATTGTATATATTTTACAGATTTTAATACGTAATACATTATTTAAAAAAAACTGTTTCTAAATTTTATATTTTAAATGAGAATTTATTTTCAGCTTATAGTAAGAATTCATTTCTTATATAAATATTGTATAAAATACAAATAATACTCTAAACAATAATTATGAAATTCTTGAAATTATTTTAACATATTTTATACATATGTATAAAAATATTAATTATTATGTATATTTTTAAAATCAACATTGTACAAATTATATTCAAATAAAATTTAAAATGTTATATATATATATATATATATATATATATATATATATGATAAATAGATCGCCAATGTTAAATAGATCGCCACAATAAAATTAAATGAACAATTAATTTTATATACAAGTAACAAATAATAAATTGAATAAATTATAAACTGTTCACCTCTCGGTTGCTCCACTGTCTGATATCCTCCCCGAGTCATCTTTTCGGTTCAGCCTTTACTGTTCCTCCATGGCATTCACTCGCAAACACATGGTTAATTACGATTGCGCACACACTAATTAGCAGAATAGGACAATTACGCGACACTTTGCACGACACTCCCGACGTTTAATCGCACGCGACCTTACTGAATTGCGACGGAAAAATTACGCGAAAACTAAAGCCGGCACATATTAGGATTCACTCGATACATGTAATCTGTAAAATACAAAATGTACAAATTACAAAAGAATATTTGAAATATTTATTAAATGTTTATTACGCGTAATTAAATTTTTATTATGCGATAAAATTTATGCCATTCATTGTAATAATGCTATTTTTGTTTATTAACAATTGTTCGTGATATAAAAAACTGCATAAATACACAATAGTATACAGATTGAAACTAAAGTTTTTCATGAAATGTCAGCAATATATCAAAGTATTTTATATCTTTAATCTAAAAATAATGAAAAAATTACATATAAATAAACGAAAATCGCGAGATGAAATATATATTCGACTCCAAATATATTTACAGAAAAAATTATATTACTGATAAATATTGTAATATATAAAATAATAATGTATAATTTTCCCTTTCTATCAATTCAAATTTCAAATAAACATGTTTTGATAAATAGTTTCGATATTTTTACAATATTTTAACACGAGGTGATCAATCGAACGAGTTATAATTATTTCTTATTATATTTTAATATTATATTTTAATTATTTATCTCTAATAGTATATTAAAAATAAGCAAAAATATATATATATATATATATATTTTAATATGTATATACATTATACATATATTTAATATATAATTAATTGTTCATTGCCACGCATAACATATACTTAAAAATCTCAATATAAATGTGTAATTATCAGATTTTTATTATTATTTAAATTTTTTATATAAAAATTTATTTATAAAAATTTTTTATAAAAAAAAATAAAGCTTTTTTATATCTAATTTTTTCAGAAATTATATATAGTTTTTATATTAAATATTTATTTCTATATATATATATATGTATGTATATATTTAATTTGCGTTCTTTAAATAAATATTTAATATAAAAATTTTTATATAATTTACAAAATAACATTTTTTTAGATATAAGAAAGATCTCTTTCTCATAAAAATTTGCTAAATAAAAAATTCCTTATATAAAAAATCTAAATAAACAATAAAAATCTTTTATAATTACACATATATATTGAAATTTTTATTTTTAAAGTATATGTTATGCGTGGCAATAAACAATTTTGCAAGTAACAATAATAAGAAAAGTAAGTTAATATATTACTTTATTTAGTAATTGTCCTTTCTCTCTCTCTTTTTCTGCTGTTAATTTGATGCTTTCCGCTGTGTCTTTCTCTTTTCTTTTCATTATATTGCTTCTTCATGGTACTCGCATAATACCCACGAACTGTTAAACAAAAACCATAGATATAATTAGATCGAAAGAATAACTGCAAATATAGCCTAAGGAATAGATAGAAAGAGAAGGAAAATATATAAAAGTAGCGACTTTCTCACAAGATATTATATGTATATATATATTTTTCCTTTTTACCTTTCAGTCCTTATGCTAATAAATTAAAGAATCTTCGATCTTCTATTATGTTTATAGCAAAAACGGTTGATTAGAATCAGGTTAATTGTACAATTCACCTGTACTACGATAATTGCGTGCGACGTTTTGTACGCCACTCTTGATATTAATCGCGTGATACTTTGCACGGTATTCGATCTCGATATTAATCACGCGACGAACAACATTTATTATATCGCGACAGAGAAATAACGCGAAAAATACAAATGTCCGAAGCTATGATTATATCGCGGTCGCGTCGTTTCGCACATTAACACACAAATAAATTTTAAATGAAGAGGGCGTTGTGAGAAAAGGGGAAAGATTTGCGCGGGAAAATTACGCGCTGCCAACTGTACGCACCTGATGCGACGATACTACACCTGTTGCTCTTAACTGCACTTTTCTGCTCTTTACGCATTTTGAATAATAAATAATGTATGCTCATGATTATTTTATATTATCGCATATTTTACGTTTTATTCTATAAACGCGTTAATAGGAATATATTATTGATAATAAATATTTCAATTATTTAATTAATTATAAACATTATTGAATTGTTTCTTTATATAAATTCTTATAAAAATTTTATATATTCACGCATAAAAAATGAAATTTAATATTTATTTTAAGAATGCAATTGATTTTAATAATAGAAAAGTATGTACATAAATTTTTCTCAAATATATTTTTCTAAAAACTTTTGTATCTCATAAGAAATAAATTATGCAGAATTTTTAAGAAATTATTAAATAAGATTAAATTGTCGCAAAAGATGTGATGGCGAGAAAACAGAGGTTATTTACATATATTCATCATAAATGTAAATTTGTTGAGCTATAACGAAGCACATAACACGTTTTATAGTTAATTAGATAATTAGTATGCATTGCAATGTCTTACCTTTGTACAATATACCTTGAACGCCTTCACAAGCTATTATTGTCATTAAGCTCGGTGTATGTACAGAACAGCAGAACACGTGACACGTGACACGTGACGTGACGTGACGTGACGTGATGTGACGTGACGCGAAGAGCTGTCCGCGCGCTTTTCGAAAATGAACTCTCGCATTTGCAGCGTAAACTATTATCGGACCAATTTCCGAGGATGCATTGCAAAGCAACTAGGAGAAAGGAATGGATGACATGTACGCAAATGCACGTAATTGTGTAGTCAAATGCAATAGCTGAAACAATACTGCCTGACATGAACGGGTTAATGCAATTGGTACCCCGCTGGGAATATATAGCCCATTACATTGCTGCAGAATATTCTCGAGCAAAGTTGAAATAGTTTTCTCTGTCATCTTGAATTAATTAAAAAATAAAATTATATTATTACCTGCTATTTATGCATACATTTAAAATTCTAAGTTTCGAGAAAGAAGTTAGAAAAAAAATTTACCAAAAATTAATATTTTTCTATAAAAATACAGAAAAGTTATATGAAAGTTACATGAAGACTATAGGTGAAAATTAAAGAGTATGCTTTGTTCAATTATAATCCCTTTGATTCTCACAATAGCTTGGAGTTTCTACGCTACTCTATAATTCCGTAGTTTCAACTTCGAGCTTAGAGAATTGAATCGCGTATTAATCTCCTTCAAACTCGAAACATTCGCAAAATATCAGTATCTTTGTATATTGTACAATATATATATATATATATATATATATATATATATATGTAGTACATTTCAGAATCTATATTCTATTAGATACGCTGCAATTGATTTCATTTTCGCTTATGAAGCTATTGCGGTTGCTGCTGTTTTCCTTTGATTACGCTTTGAAACACAAAATACAGCAGCACTAAACTTATCAGTGATCGATAGCAATATTGTGCATTTCCTTTATGCGCACCCTTTGAAATACTATGTATATATTACTATATTAGCACAGAATCAACATTGTGTTCTTGATAATACACAACATCAAATATAGATATATGTAAATTAAATTTCGCAAAATAAGAAAATATATCTTTAAATCTTATGCATATTCTTTGATCTTTACATCAAGAAAGAAAATATATATAACCCTGTGCGTGTTATTCTTATTAAATTTTATTTTTTTAATCATTTTTCTAATATATTGTTTACATCTCAAACATGTCGTTCGTATTTTTGATGAAGAAAGGATAAAACAAAGTTAAAACGCAAGTGATTAAAATAGAACACAGGATTATATTATTCAATTTATTAATTATATATGAAAAAATTAGCATATCGATAATAAAATGTACAGAAATCTGCATATTTATAATTTATAATTTCTCTATTTATAACTTATATATTGCAAAACACTCAGATTAAAACTTTCATACCCACTAAGACTCAGATAAAATGTCCTCTAGAGTTTTATCGTCGTGGAGAGGCGAGTGTCCCAACGTGGGATCACTTTCGAGAAATTCGCGCAATTCGGACTCAAGATCGGTCACACCGGATGGCTCCGTCGCGCTTAACAGGGACGGTGGCGTCTGACTGCTATGTGTCATACCGATCTGCATCTGAATCGGCGGTGGCGGCTGATTCGCGCCTACAATACTGATGTTCTGATTCTGTTGACCAGTCGGACTCAATAGATTCGTATTCTGAATCGGAGAGGTCGGCAGTAAGTTCGACAACACCTGGTTGTTTCCATTATTTGCATTTGGCGGTAATAACGAATTGTCGGCGACTATGCTAGGGTTATGCGTAATCGGCTCGACTTCCATGGGCTCCGGCCCACCCAAGGGTGCTATGCCCATCGCTCTGCGCAGCCCGTCGACCGGTGCAATCCCCGACGGTGGCAATTTCTTGGCTATGTCGGTTAAATTATCGGTGATCTTCTCGGCCAACATCACTTCAGCTTCCGTTGCTTTAGGAACATTGGACAAATGTGCTGGCGGTGGCGCTGAAAGGCGTTCATGTTGGACCTGTTTCAATCGGTTCAACATTTGCGATGTATCATCCAGGCGACTCTGTAGAACGGCGCGTTCTTCACTGTATTTAAATTCCTCCTCTGTAAATAGAAAAATTATGTGTAATTAAATAATGCGAAAGAAAAGCGTTATTCGTCTCAAAGTTATTAAATTATTCTGACGATTTATTTATTTATTTAAACAAAATGTTCTATTTTGATAAAATTTACAAACATTAATATAAAACATATATATTTAAGCTGAAAAGTTTAGAATATAAGTTAAATTATTGCAAATTAATTGAAAAAATGTTAGATTATTTATTTTTATTCGATTATTCGATAACCTTATAAAATTACCTAAATTCTCTAAGAAGTTTATGTCGATACCGATTTCCGAGAGTGTCTTTAGTTGTTCAAGATCAACTTTCACCTTCTCCAGCGTTGAAATGTTACGATTTATATCCTGTATAGGCTTCTCTAGTATATTTTTGATCTTTTCTTCTTCCTCCCTTAATTTTCGTTTTTCATCAATAAACTTTTTCGTTTTTCTATGATCACCACCTGTGAGAATATCCAACAGATCATCGACCATGGTCAACGTGTAATCACAATCCTTGGCAAAGTCCAGAATTGACTCGGCGTACTGTACAGCTGTCTCATCACCGTAGGTCTGATAGACTAGGTCCGTTTCTTCCTTGGTGAGATTAGAGAAGGTCGAATCAAAGCTTGGCGCGTACGAACCAAATGCTCCGTAATATAATGGTTTTACCGGCTTCGACATGTTTCTACGATCTTCCCGAAATCCAGCCAGTGCTCCTGTGCCGTGGTTTAACTTGCCTATCAATTGGCCTAGTGACACAGGCCTTTGATTGGTTCCAGGAATAATTCCGTCCCCAGGCACGATAATCTGTAGACTGGTAGTGCCGTCTTTCTTCTGTCGCAGAAAGCCCATCTTAGAGTTGGCTCTCTTCAGACTGAGTTTCTCCGATGCTGTTTTGGCCGCCCCTCTCGCTTGCTTCAATATTTCCTCGGGCGTCAAGTCGTCCGGTATCGCCTCGAATTTGCCTAAACTAGCCAGTCTCATTTTTCTCTGATTCTCTTTCCTGAGCTCCTCTGCTTCTTCATTGCGTTCCTCCTGCTCACGCTCTCGCTCGATCTGTTCCTCTGTTACAGGAGCATCCAGATTGTTGGGATCTTCGATGCCTAACTCGAATCCAAGTTCCTCCTTCGTTATATCATTCATATACATCAGGACCGGCCTGAGCTGCCGCAGTTTCTCGGGAGTGACCATCTTCAAACCGACGTGCAAAAGTTTTTTCGCCGCCTTATAATAGATAGTATCGGAATGATTATAAGTCATAGCGTTATCACACATGAGCTTGAAATCATCTACGAATTCTTGCAGATTCTGATAATTGTTGTCGTCTATCTTTTGTTTTATCGTGCTGAAATCCATGGGACTTGTGATTATCTGAGAATAACCAGGCGCGATGCTGTCCGTAACCGGCCAAGCGAAGAATTGCTGTGGATCTCGCTTTTCCATCGACCTCAACAAGTGTTCCAGTAATCTTTGGAGAGGCGTTCGCTCCGCTATTTTTCTAAGAACGCATGTTCTGGGTTCACGATGTGGTGATAGAGAGCTTATATTACTAACGCCGACCCTTAATTCGCCGCTCGACGGTGGCCTGAGCGGTAACAACTGATTGTGATTAGTAGAGGTCTTCTTGGGTACTGGCTCGGCTAAATTTTCGTCGGCATCGCCAACCGATTCCTGACTCGATTCTTCTCTTCGTCTCTTTTTGTCCTTATGATGATGTTTATGCCGTTTATCTTTCTTTTTCTTCTTCTTTTTGAGCTTCTTGTGGCCGACGTATCTGTCGTACTCTGTGTCTCCTTGACTGACAGAATAGTTGAGGCCCAATTGTTGCTGATAATGTTGCGACAACATCGTGGCCTGATTCGGCGACTCACTGCCGTGTTCAGGCGTTCCAGTACTCCCTCCTACTTTTAAAATTAACTTCAAGCTAGGCGGCTTGTCCGTCGTTGTATATTGACCCTCTGCTGAAGAAGAAAAAGAAGAAACACAATCAGCCGTTGCATTCAAAATAAATCTTTTAAAGCAGCGTACTAAAATCTTTCTATAAAAGCTATACATATAATCTGCTGTGTGCTTCATGCAGCAATCTTGCAGGAAATCTTGCAGAAAATTATGCAGGGTAGGAGCATAATATAGCAACACAAGAAACAAAAGACATCGAGAGATGTTGCAATGTGTAATATCGAAAAGAAGTGCAAATTATAAATAATTATAAAATCTACAGGACATTAAAAGAGACAAATGGATGGGATGTATATCGACGATAATATAAAAGATGACTTTATTAACAGGATAGTGACCTTGTTTTCACATTCAACAAACTGGAAGCGAGATGGAAGTAGCTCGACTTAAAATAAATCTTAATAGAAATATATATTATAAAATAATTTCCATTGTTAACATTAAATTGACTGAATAATCGGCGGGAATAATCAGGGAGAACAATCATCAAAATTGAAAATACCTCGCTAAGAGGTGAAGCGAAGCATATATGGCTCTCAATGCCACGATACATAACAGCCATAGGAATTATGCGATTGAAGTGCAACAGGTTTGTCTCTGGTAACTGTCTAAATGTATGTACCTTGTGTCCTATGCATACTATTCTGTTGTAACAACTCTTGTTGCATAAATCTTGTTGCACTTCAACGGATTCAACGGATTAAAAAAAATAATAATTAAAGGGTTTGGGGCAATTGATAATTTTAGAAGCACAGCTAGCTTCTGTCGTGCAACCAGTCCATGTCCGTTGTTATACGTCACTTACTTCTACGTCACGCCTGTTGCTGTGGAACGCTTCGTTTATACTTTCGAATCCACCTCACTTCTACTCCAACCTCTCACTCTCAGTTTGTCCGTGGTGAAAACGTAGTCAAAATTCCTGTGCATCATTAAACTAGTGAGTACGAGAAGGATTCCAATGAAAATTTTTACAAAAAGTGTGAAACATCTGTATTGGATATCAAAAAATAGAAGAAGCTCTTTACTCTGAAGCATTTTTCCTTTTCATTCGAATCCTTATTTATGAATGACACATAAGTACAGAAGTTTGATTTATGGTGCAATGTAATGATGCCTCAGTAACATATATCCTTATCTAAATCTACCCTATTACATTTAATTATCTATTTTTTTTTTTCTCTTATTCGAAGATTATAGTTTTCGGATATAAGTTTTCTCGTTGACAGAGAGTAAATTATTGTATAGCAGATGATATCCCATTATTGTTAATAATCATTCAGTTTCTCGATTGAGATTAGATGACAATCAACGACAATTTCGTTCGATGAGAATCGGACAGGCGGAATAAACAATAGAAGATAGAGAAAAATTCGAAACGACGACGAGCTCGGAAATAGTTGACAACTGTCACAGAACGTAATCCTGGAGTACGACCGAAAGTAAAGTGTCTCGTTCCGAGGAAGAATCGCGGTATATATTTTTCATCCGTTCCTCACCTTCGTGTCTCTCGCGCTTATGCTTTTTATGCTTTTTCGAGCCCATACTTCGCGCGAACCGTTTGACCACAGCTTCGTGCGAAAATACAACAATCGGCGTCTCTCTTGGCGTTACTTCCTCGTAACAACCGCGTTACGTCGCGTACACAGACAACACAGTGGCCGCCATTGGTGACGTCACGTTCGCCCGTGTCGCTCCGCGTTCCGCCGCGTTCCAGTTGCCATGGAAACGGCGGAACGCGCGAACTGTCATGGCGACGCGTTACTCGATCGCCCGCGCGATTCGGATACCGGAGTGTTCGCGTTACTCCGACAATACAAGTACTTGATCTACCATCCGGCTGTTCCATTGTTTTCGGTCGAATAAAGGAGTAGCAGGCGTTTACGAACGATAATTCTCCAAACGCGCCAGATAAATCCATCCTTCGATCTCGATATACGAATACAAAACCGCGATGTGGGAAAGTTTATATACGACGCGTCAGACTCCCGGCGAATTAATAAGAGTTTCATTAGGGAATGTTATAGGTAACGAGCGATTTCTAATATCTAGATTTCGTCGCGAAAAATCGTACACCGACGAGATTTCTCATCTCGACACTCGACGTCGAAGGCGAGAGAATCGCGAAGAGAGAACGCGGACGATTACCCGGCTCCGACTTTCTGACGGGGAAAAAAGCGACTTCGCGTTTCGAACATGGCGGCCGTTTGCGCGTCCGTTCGCGTACAGAGAGCTTCGCGTCGCGGACGAAGGAAACCCTCCCTAACCTAGAAAAATGCCTCGCCTATCGGCACCCGTTGCCGCCGATCTCGCGACGAAGTATATACTCACCTGCGCCGATCGCGACTTCTGGACGACGAACGGCACTCGACGATCCCGAGCGACTCACCTTCGCGCGACGACGGCTCGGCGACGCGATTAAAGGGACGGCGATCAGCTGTTTCTCGCTCGAAACGCCGAGAGATAGACAGACGGAGAAAGAGAGAGAGAGAGAGACGGAGGAGGAGGAGGAACGAAGAGCGAGAAACGCGTTCCTGCGGGCTGCAACTCGGGGAAAAAAATACACAGCTCGCGCTGTGTCTCGTCTCGTGATATACCCGATGTATAAAAGTACGTCTCTCCCGAGAGACTTTCGCCGGAATGCGAGAGATATGACAAATCGAATATATGTAACAATAGAGCGGCAATATATGACATAATATCCTTCTATTTTCAAGTTTTATATTTTCTTATCTCATCTACGGAGGGATATTTAAAAAACAAAGCAGTTAAATTAATTTTTACATCAAATATTGTTCACAAGATTCTCTTTCTGTCTCTTTAAACAAAATAAATTATTGTCGTATAAATATATATATATATATATATGTAATAACGTACAATTTGCAAGACTTTGTTAGTAATAATTAAGTTTTAAAAAAACTTGGAAATAATATTGCGCGAGAAACACTGTTGGAATGTCTCTTATATTTCTTCTTCTCAGAAAATGACTTATATAATTGACGTTTTTTCGCGACACGTTCCGAACGTGATGCGAATATTTATCGCGGTTTCAGAAAAAAAAGGTATTTTGTTGCAATTATCGCGACTCTGTATCTTTCCATAAAAATTTCATTTCGAAACATGTACGCGAATATATGCAATTTTTTGTCGAAGCGTAACATAAAATCATACAATACACCCCGCTTAATCCTCAAATTATGCATTATCTGATTACGTGCAACCGTTTCGATAAATATGACTAGTTACGTCACTGCATATGTGCATTGGGTGGTGGAGGGTCCGCAAGAGGGCGAACCGACACTGCGGAGGTGCAAGAAAAATATATTGAGTACGCTATCAAACACAATTTTGGCGCCAATTCAATGCCTATTCCACCATCTTCTTGAATCAGTCTCGCGTTGTTCACCCTGCTCCTTCCCACTTTTATCTAATCCTTTTGTTTTCCCTCTTACAATTAGTTTCATTCGTTCGTCCATTGTATTATACGCGCTTTTGTACTCCTTTGTCCCTTTGTCATTCTTTGTCCAGTCATCACCGTTTCTTTCTTTCTCGCGCTCTCTCTCTCTCTCTCTCTCCAATCCTACAATAGAATATATACATATATCTGTATACCTTTTAATTTTACCTATACAACAATTATTATAATCATCTGCGTGAAAAATAAGAGGTAAGAGAATCATTTTGCTTTTTTCTTACTCTTTATTCTATTATTCTATTTCATAAATATAGATAAGATTTTAAAGTGTTAGCTCCAAGATAAAAATGAAGCGATCTATCTATACATATTCTCTTTGTCATTCCTCTTATGGCATCATGCCTTTCTCTCTCGGTCATTATTTCACCGCCCTCAAATATTCCCTCTCTCTTTCTATCCGTCTCGTGTCTCTCTCGTACATGTCAGTAATTTCGCCTTACTTCCCTCTTTCTCTGTTCGCTCGCTCGTCCCATCACTCCTCCAGTCAGTGCCCTTACCCCCACTCCGCGCCATCTCGCGTGCAACGATAACACCGGGCCGCGGCGTCGCGCCGCGTACAGTAGCGTTCCGTAATTTCCCGTCAGCGAATGGGGAACGCGCACGCGAGTGTCCGCGCGCGAACGTGCCGATTCGTTCGCATCGTCTCGAGTGTCGCTCGATCGCGCGTCTACGTCGCGGCCGACTGATCGCTGGCCGTCGTGTCCTGTCGTGTCCTGCCATCCGACCCGGACGAAACGAGAAATCGCGCGAGGAAAACTGGCAGAGGAGAACGATGGAGAGGTTTCGAGTGACGCCGGCGAACAACGCCACGCGCCACAGACAACAGTCGCCGGTACGCGATTACGGTGAGTCAATGTTTGTTTGTGTATCGTTGACAGGCGCATACGTATACGTACGTGCGTCTGTATACGTGAGGAAACCCCACGTGCTTTCTAGATGCGAAAGACAGCGGACGCGTGGCTCTCGCTTTGCGCGCGCGCGAGCGTATTTTTAACGCCGATCGCATCTAGTCGCATGTGTCCCGATATATATATGTATATAGAATGTGACCCACCATGTTGCACGCTACCCGCGTGCTCGCGGCTCACTTCACTTCGTTCCCGGAACGACCGGCGCATGGCCGCTGTCGCGGGTCAAAACCCTGGCGCGTCATTCCTATTCCGTGTCTGGGAAAAAGGGGTGGATATCGAGCATGACAGCTTTCGAAGAAACCTAGGTAGAACGTAAAGCTCGTAATGACGTTATAATCATGTCGTTATGATTTTATTCATCGTTTAAAAGGTAGAATGTATCTGTATACCTTTTTTAATATTTTATCTATAAGTAATTATTATATAATCATCCTGAAAGAATGAGGTAAGAGAGAAATTTTTCTTTTGTCACTCTTTATTCTTCTATTTCATAATACATAAAAGTTTGAAACGTCTTGTGCTCCAAGATTAAAGTAAAGTGATCCATCTCTATCTATATATTGTTTTTATTATTCCTCTTATTTGGACAAAAATATTATTTAAAGATATCAGGCATGACAGCTATTATATCGAAGAAACCTATAGGTGGATCATAAAGCTTGTAGTGACGTCATTATGATTTTATTCATCGCTTAAAAGTTAGAATATATCTGTACCTTTTATAATTTTACCTATAAGTAATTATTATATAATCATTCGTAAAGAATGAAGTAAGAGAGAAATTTTTCATTTGTCACGCTTTATTCTTCTATTTCATAATACATAAAAGTTTAAAATATGCTGCTCCAAGATTAAAATAAAGTAATCTATCTCTATTTATATATATTCTCTTTGTCATTCCTCTTATTTAAACAAAAAATATTTAAAGATAACAGAAGGAATCATAGATTTAAAGCCCCCTAATATAAAATAATCGCATATATATAATTTTCAAAAAATGTATGTTGCTTGAATATTGTGAGAATATTAAATAATTATAATATATAGAAATTTTTTTTAAAATGACTTTTAAGTGGTGTCGTCATGATGTCATTATGCCTTTTATATTCTATCTGGGAAGTAGCGATAGCTTCCGGGTAGATAACGAAAAAATATATAGTATATTAAAAACATCGATGCATTGTTTGTTTTGAATGTCAATTAAAGATCTTATCTATCGGTTCGAGGACGAATTAAATTTTGAAAAGTAAAAAAATTCGAATAATTTAAACTATATTTGTCGATAATTCGAAATGTCAATGTCGGGCGATATATTTCGAGTAACGGAAATTAATTGCGAATCAAAATAGGAGAGAATTAGTGCTGCAAAACAAAGCACTTGGCTAGATAATAGACATAATAATTATGTAACAGGGAAGGGAGTCAATCAATCGTGACTTAATAAAGATGCTCGACAGAAAAACATCCGCCATGAATAGCATTATTCTTGCTACATTATTCATGCATTTGCATGCTCAATCGCAACTATTTTTATCCGTATTATCGTTAAATAATACGAAAATATACACGCGAAATATTTTCTTTTTTCGGCGAAGAGCAACAAGTAAATGGCTTATTGATCATTTATCGTCATTATCGTATCTAGACGATTTATTGTTATAACTCGCAGAAAGCTACAATCTGTATGAATATCCAATGTTTTATTGTTCGTATCGTTGCGAATACAGGATAGCTCGGTGTGTCGGAAGCTTTCGTTTCAAGGTCGATCGATTGATCGTCGTCACGACAAAGATTAAGACCGATCGTGTTAGAAGTTCGAAGTTAGCTGCGATCAATACAAAACTGTTTCATAAGCATTTCCTTCACGTCAGTCTTTTGAAAACCTTGATGGCTTAAAAGCCTCTCCTTAGTAAATATTTACCTTTATTAATTGTGTGATAATAAAAATTTATTTATATATAAATATAATATGTATACGTTTAATCTTAATGATTAGATAATTTTAATGACGTAATTTTTTTCTGTATATCAATATTGAATGAATTTATTAATAACAAATGCAGAATTAATTATTAAAATTTTAATGTATCGATGATTAGAGAAATTACAGTGATTTAATTACAATTATAATGATTTAATAGTACAAATAATTTGTCAAGGAATACACATTTGAAATGTGATGCAATTTGTTTGAAATATTTTAAGTATTATATTTATAACGCATGATTATAAGTGAAGTCGAACTTGTGTGACACTTTGCTTTATTTTTCTTAAATAATAGCGTAATAATTAAATCTTCAATATATTTAAAATGAAAAATGAAGAAAAAAATATTAAGTAAAAGGTCTTAATATATGAATCAGGTATCAGACATATATACAAATATAAAAAAAGTTAACTTGACTAAACCTTTCAATTAAATCACTATTTCATTAATTGACCATATATTAGTATTTGAATCAAATACATGTTTTGTTAAATTTAATATGCCATATTTAATTTAAATCTTTTATATGTTCAATTAACAAAATATTTAGTTGAAAGGTTTAGTTAATACTTTTTTTTACAGTGTAGTTTTCTCGCAAGTTTACAATTTATAATATTGTCAGAGAATTTATGATTGACTGCGACCAGCTTTGAGTTGCTTTATATTTTCTCGAAACTCGGGCTGGCATCGTGCGCAAAGCCTGGCTATTTTTGTCGAGAAACGATCGTCTCAGACGCACTAATAAATGACAATTTAGCGCTGCGGCACTTCCGCTTAATAACATGGCTTTTCGATTTTATTGATGGTTCAGACATAAATTAATTCTCGGTGCTGATATTTTCATTGATATATGTGCCATTGTGCATCATTTTTCCATTATATTAATC